AACGTGTAAAGGACAGGGCCTACCACCTCGGCAAACCTCACATAGGTGGGCTACCTGTCCATTCACATAAGGTTCATACAGAAAAACAGGACGAAGCTCACGCGTTCCAAATTGAAAGCATAAACTGCTTATATATGAACGCCGCGAGTCTACCAAACAAACTGGATGAACTACATGAACTTAGAAACGCTAATAAGGCCCATCTGATAGGAATATCTGAAACCTGGATATCTTCTCAGTTCTCGGACCAAGAGTTAGCATTACCTGGGATGACTTTGTTCCGCAACGACAGGAAAATAGGAATTGGGGGCGGAGTAGCCATATACAAAAGCTCTTGCATGGAGGTGCACCATGTTCACAACCTCGAGTTTAACAATCTTGAGGAATCCATATGGTGCTCTGTAAGATTGTCTAGTACTTCCAGGTGTCTAGTCGGAGTCATTTACAGGAAGCCAACTGCCGACACCGAGTACGATAGTCGTATGCTGGAAGGACTATCCCGCTCTATCCGTCTCGGTTTCACACACATCCTGATTCTAGGGGACTTTAATCTCCCTAGAGTCAACTTCGCGGAACACACGTACACTGGAGGCGACAACTCAACTGAAGCTCGATTCTTCAACCTCATCGATAACTTAGGCTTATATGAAAATGTGAGGTCGGCAACTCGTTGGAGAAACAGTCAGACACCATCGCGCTTAGACTGTGTATTCACTAACGAAGAATTCCTAGTCGACAACCTCTCAATCCTGGCTCCTCTGGGAAAGAGCGATCATGCCGTCATAGCCTTCAGTTTTGTCATCAAAACTAAGCTAAGGTATCCCAACAATAATTTGCGTTGGAATTTTAAACGGCTGAATGCGCCAGCTCTACATGACTATCTACAACAGGTGGTTTGGGATGTTCACCCTCAACTCGATGTGGATGGTCATTGGGACTTCTTACTGCACACGCTCTTATGTGCTACAAACCATTCAGTTCCTCAAACGGTTCCCAAAAGCTGCAAGCCACCTACAGTAATCAAGAACCGTACCCTTCGCCTGCTAAGCCGCAAAAGACACTGTTGGGCGGAATACAAACGAACTAATAACGATGGAGCGTATAGGCAATATAAACATATCAGGAACATATGCACGAAGGCTATAAGAGAAGACAGGCTTCAGTACCAAACAAAGCTTATGGACAAATTCGCCTCTAACCCTAGAAGCCTATTCCGTTATGCAGCCTCTCTTCGTCAAGCCAAAACAGGAGTTTCTCAACTGCTCGGTCTTAACGGCCCGACCAACAATGATGGCGACACCGCTAACCTTCTGGCGGCCCATTACTCTCAAACATTTCAACCGGCTGACATCAACTTTATTGACGACAGTTTCATCTGCAATTCCACAGGACTTTCTGAAGTGGACCTAAGCGCTGACTTGGTGTTCCGGAAACTGCAGCACTTAAGACTTGACACTTCTCCTGGCCCGGATATGGTTCATCCTGCCATACTGAGGGAGGCAGCCTCAATCCTGGCAACGCCGCTTAGCGTGATGTTCTCACACTCGCTTAGACGAGGCAAATTACCGGAAAATTGGAAGTTGGCTCACATCACACCAATTTTCAAAGGTGGTCGACGCAATGAACCTTCAAGTTATCGGCCGGTGGCTCTTCTGTCATTACCTTCAAAACTCATGGAGTCCCTGATATGCGACGGTTTAAATGACTATCTACTGTCCTTAAATTTCTTCTCACCCCAACAGCATGGTTTCAGGAAGGGTTACTCTTATATAACCAACCTGCTGACTGCGGTGGACAGATGGACAAGCATCCTCGATTGCAAGGGAAAGGTTGATGTCATTTACCTTGATTTCTCAAAAGCTTTTGATAAGGTTAACCACTTGTGTCTTATCAACAAGCTCAAACGACTAGGTATCAAACCACCTCTAATCGACTGGCTTACTTCATACCTAAAAAATCGACACTTTAAGGTTAGGGTTAATTTCACTTTCTCTCAGGCTATGGAATGTCCTAGTGGGGTTCCCCAGGGCTCAGTACTAGGGCCTCTTCTCTTCTTGATCTACATAAATGATCTTCCTCAACAGGTAACGTCAGACTTATTACTTTTTGCCGACGATGTGAAACTTTGGAGAGAGATACGCAACCAAGACGATACACAGGCCAATCAGGAGGATTTGACGCGACTTCAAAGTTGGGCAGACGATAACGGACTTACCTTTAACACTTCTAAGTGTAAAGTAGTCCATCTGCGACATGTCGCAAACTACAGTTACAACTTAGGAAACTCCTCTCTAGTAGTATCCCAAGTCGAAAAACATTTAGGAGTCCTGGTGCCCCATGACTTAAAGTCTTACGCTAACTGTGACAAAAATGCCTTCCGAGCAAACCTTGCACTGGTAACGTTGAGGCGCATTTTTGGCCAGTTTGACGGAAGAACTTTCCACACAATCTTCAATAGTTTCATCCGTCCCCATTTAGAGTACGGAAATATAGTACTCCCCCCTCACTCCAAAAGGACAAGGTCACTTTGGAGCGTATCCAACGGCGAGCCACGAAATCAGTTCGAGGACTCAAATCTAAGCCTTACGAAGAACGCCTCCGTTCACTAGACCTTTACCCACTAGAATATAGGCGTCTTAGAGGTGATTTATTAATGGCTTATAGTATTCTCAACACTTCTGGACATCCTCTTAAACACCTACTTAAGCTTAGTTCGAATAATAACCTAAGGGGTAACACCCAGAAACTGGAAACACAACATAGCAAGACGGACTGTAGACACAACTTCTACTCCTTAAGAGTTGTCAAAAGCTGGAATTCGCTGCCGACCGAGCTAGTCCAAGCGACTTCTCAGGAGTCCTTCAAGAGGCAACTTGACCTATTCTTAAGGATCAAGGACAGCATCACACTATGATTTACCAATTTCTTTTCCTCTTTTATTGTTAACATACCTAGGTTCCTGCCTGGAAGATTTGGTGATCCCCTGTTACTAGACACGGAAGCCTGTTAAGCGAAAGCTTCTTCTATTCCGTCCACAACCATTCGAACCATTTGAACCATTTGAACCTCTTGTCAGGCCGTTCAAGGTCGTTGAAACAAAACGGCGGGCAGCTTTGAAGAAGTCTGACATTTTTACCGTGCCCAGTAAGCTTGTGGTTATCTAGTTTTACCTGCTTCAAATCGCACTATTTCTGGAGATCTTGGTTACCACAATAATTTGAATACTTCTAACTATTGTAAATTCTCACTGTACATTTTTCACTGTTGCGTAACAGTGTACATTGTACCACATAACGTGTTTTGTGCTCATACACTCGTTTATTTTTAACAAGCACTAATTTTAAGCATAAGGAGAGACATCGTCTAACATGGCGACTTCCTGAACTAAACCAACGATGGACTCAAATAGAATACATTGCCATCAGTCACCGTTGGAGAGGCTCGATCGAAGACTGCCTCTCGTTCTGGAGTACATGTTTAGACTCGTCGTGCTCCAATGCTAGCATACATTCGTTTGCGCCTCGTTGAACGCAGGAAAATCCCATTAAGAAGACCCCTTAAGGTTGAACTGAACGGTGCAGTCACGTTTTAGCGATTAGGTCGACTAATATTTTGGTTAAAATCTGAGAGTTAGACATAATCCCGCCTAACTGGTCGCAATCACTGATCGTCCCAATACATAAAAATGGTTCAAAATCATCCTGTGACAACCACATACTCACCATTCGCCAAATCTTAGGACACAGGCGTGCTTATTGGCGTCCGACAATGATAGCTTTTCTTGACTTAAAGACAGCATTTGACTCTGTAGTCTAAGAGGTTCTGTGGCAGTGCCTGTCACTGAAAGGCTCATCTCAGAAGTACGTAAACCTTGTGAAAGCCCTTTACTCAAACACTACCAGTCGAGTCAGCTTATGGCGAACTGTCATCTATTCTTGCAACCTCAAGTGGTGTCCGACAAGGCTGTCCACTATCTCCATTTTCGTTCAACTTCATCATAGACCTATAGCTGGAAATAACGTTCTCATCGACTGAATTTTCGAGCATTGATCTCCTACCAGAACGTTCACTGATTGACTTAGAATACGCAGATAACATTGTCCTGTTTGGTGAAGACACTGATAAAATGCAGAGTATTTTGGTAGCACTGAGCAACATTGCCAGGATGTTTGGAATGTATTTCTACGGCGTTATGGGTATACAACTACTGCACAGCTTAGACCATATGCTTCTCTACGTATATATAGCCTTCTAAATATATCTTCGAACCCCCCATCTCTGACTTCTGATTTGACTGGGTAGGTATGAAGATGTTACTGGTAAAGGCATCGTCAAACTTCGAATACATTTGTCATTAATATTCTGCGTAAACCAATGATAAGCTTGTGAATCACCTCAAGAGGACTTTCATGTTTTAATACGAGTTTACATTTTTCCAAAATCGTGTTGCACATCATGTTTTCGCTATCATATCCTACAATCGTGCGTTTGACTTGGAACATTTCGTCCATCCATTCTCGTAAATTCTTGATAGGCAAATCACTATAGACTGATACAAACTCAATTTTACCAAGTAGATATATTGTACCTTATCCTTGCACACAACTATGTCAACTTTCTGATCTCTTAGGATTACCACGAAGTAGAAATGGTTTCAATAGTTCTTGCCGTACCTGGTCTTCATTATGTCCATATATGGTGCTGATCTATTGATTGCTTTTATCAATCCAGTTTTGTATCTCCAATTTAAATCTTCATGTTCTCTTGCAGATAAATGAAAGTTCATTAGTCCTGGCATAATCGTCCGTGAATATCCGAAATACTTATACCGTATATGGACTGTATAATTGTATTTTGAAGAATATGGTTGATAACGGTACGTGAAAGTACTTTTAATTTGGTATTATGTTGACATGATTAAATAATTTAACCTTACAAAGTATCTAAGATATTAATTTCACCAATTCAGTATCTGGGTTCTAGCCCGAGGATTGTTTCCGACGAATATTTTGTAGTCATCGACGACGTTAGTTATACGAACCCTCCCCCACAGAATTTTTTATACTTTAAGGTAGCAAGCAATCTTATCATGATGTCTAAGGTTCGTGCACGTGTTTTCGTATTCGCAAGAGAACAAACTTAAAAATGTTGCTTGTAAAGTTATACACATCATTTAACCCTTACGATTTGTTATATATGCTGGTCTTTATGTTTATAAATTGAGATTGTATACTCTTTGAGGACTCACGGGTTCAATAATCAACTACTAAGACACTTCCATTCAGAGCTCTTGTTGTGAATGGAGAGCTATACTAATCATGTCAATATCCAAAATAATTTCTATTAAGTTTAAACACTGGTCCTAACATATTGTCTCAAACGTAAATTATATCTCTTATTTTAGCAACGTTAAGCGATGCTTATCGAAGCCATGACTCGTCTGGATCCTCGAGACTTCTTATTCCTGATTCAGTTATCGGATTGGTCGATTTCCAAATTAATAGTTATTATTGACATTTAGTGTTTTGTTCCAGTACCCCTATCTACAAAGGCATATATTTTCAATCCACTGGTTGTGTTATTTTAACTTCTACGGTTCAAAATCCGCAAAGAAAAAGATACGTTTTACTTTTGCCGCTTTACAATCCCATACTTCGAAGAGTAAGACGACGATCGCTGTCGCTTTTAGATGCGTTTTATACAATGCTTGTTGGACTTGATAGTGCTTCATTCCCTTTATTGATATGAGTGTTTACCATCAGGTTGTATTGTAAGTTGCTTAACATGAGCTTGTCCTTAGCTAATCCTAGATGTATACTTCCGAAATTTACTAGGGATATCGGCAAGACTGGATTCTGTTAACTTTTCGAACGCAATAAAACTTCTAAAATCAATGTCAGTATTTTCATCTCGCCTATTCCCCCCAACTTTCTAATTTCAAGAGTTAAAAGGCTTTTAGTTTTGATAAACCCAAACTTTTATTTGTGGAATAGCTTAGAGTGACTACCAAGATTTCACTTTCTTACCTAGATGTAATTCAGTAAATATGCCAGGTGCAACCTTCAGGAGCTCAGATTTCTCCTCCACGACGTATCGGTTTGGGGAATGTTTTAATCTTTACATCAACTAATGGTAAATACATTCTTTTTAACCTTTGTAGTCACTTTTACGCATTGTTTTCTACATATTTGTTTTGATTGTCTCCAGAATTAAAAAACCTCAGTTTAAATGGGAACCAGAAACGTAGCAATTATATATCATGGGATGAATATTTCATGTCTATAGCACTATTGTCCGCTATGCGCAGTAAAGACCCTTCGACTCAAGTAAGTGTTTTTTATATACTATGTAATTCTCTGTTGCTTTGCATGTAAACATTCTCATATTGCAAATAGATATGTAGTTTCAATTTTCAAGGATACTAATAGAAACCGAATAATTTTTGGCTATGATCAATCACAAACAACATTTTCCTCAGCCCAAGTTGCTGTATGCCACCTTAACAAAGCTTTAAAAAACCAATCAGATGAAAGGCAGAATATTCGAAGTATAATCAGTTGTGACGGACAACCAAGCGTAGTTCCGAAAGAACAAATGAAATCGGATACTGTTCAGGATCTCTTGAGAGATATGGAATAGATGTGCCAGTTCTTTCTGGACGGTTGTTAAGTGATACCTTAATCTCTAACTACGGACCACAGTTATTGTGTGGTAGCTTGGTATGGGTAATATGTTCCGACCTACTTAGTTGACGACGGTTTACAACCTCTCCAGTTGATTAATTATCTCAAATTAGTACCCCCAGCATAATTTCAACATTACTAACTAAGCAGTCTTACCATGTATGAATAATAAGTGAGAGGTGCCTACAATCGAATTGTAATGACAGTCTATATCAACCGAAGTAAAGAATAAAAGACCATTTATTGAAAACATAACCTTCGCCTAATGTGCTAATAAAGCGTTTGTTTGAACGTTGCCATAAATCCACCTCGACTTTGTTGCCGTTTTCTCACAATTAACTGGTTTACTTGGAAAGATTGCAAATCTCCTTAGGTATGAGTTTCATGTGTTGTTATAAAAAGCCGACTGATAACCCAATGGGTATTTATACCACTGACTTACTGGACAGACAGATAAATCCCGAGAGTCCCTCAAAATCTTGTTTGTTATCCACATTCCCAGAGGATTACTTTTCATAAAATAATACTATCCTGGAAATATGTTTTTCACTGTGTTGCTTCAGTCTTTGATTGCTCCCTCTTTTAGTATGTCTAACAATCTTGTAGGTTAACATCACTAGAATCCGAACGCAAAATAAACCTATGTTCGTGAAAATTTGGATATAGCAACGTAAAAACTGATTGTTTTCGACAAAGTTAGTTATTATCGTCAGCTTTCGTACACAGTCGACACGATTTTAAATTTATTGCACTCAAATATTTTAATGGTTACTAAGTTATTATTTCTTATTTTTCTAATTCGTAATCTCCATATTCCTTGTGTTCTTTTTTCAAACTTAGGTTGGCGCTTGCATAGTTAACCAAGAAAAGAAAATTGTTGGAATAGGATATAATGGAATGCCCAACGGTATTTTAGATGATGATGTCCCTTGGGGAAAAGGATCAACAAATGAACTTGAAAATAAGTATCTTTATGGTATGCTGTCTAGTGTCTATTAACGTTTTTTTATTACAGAGACTTGTAGTTTGTCATGCAGAGTTGAACGCCGTACTGAATCGTAATGAAGCTCATTCTGGAGGTTGCACACTATTCACAACAATGTTCCCATGTAATGAATGTGCTAAAGTTATTATACAGGCTGGAATTAAAGAAGTGGTGTATTATTCGGATAAGAAGAATGGAACGGAATCTAATCAAGCAGCTAAATATTTATTTAATAAAGCTGGTGTCAGCATAAGGTATGATTTTATGTTTCTCATTCTTTGTGTGTGTTTCCACAGAAAATTCACTCCAACGAATCGAACTATCAATATTAATCTTAATTAACTGAGGATCCTAATACAAAAAAGCGGATAACTTACAATCGACTATGTATCCACTGAATTTGCACTGGACTGTTAGTTTTTGTAATCATATTATAGTTTAATTCAATAAATACAGATCAATTGAGTATTTATATAAAGTTTTCTTAGAATTATGCTCAGTATGAGGATTATTGGGTGCTAAGCTAGTAGAATGATGCTACCAGGTAATTGAGACAAAATATATACGGCTTCCCATAGTAATTTCGTCCTTCACATTGAGCAAATTTATACGATTCCACAAAATAAACGTTTCATTAACATGGTCAACCAGGTAAAACTGGATCTAGTTTTATTTACGTTTACTTGTAGAGTGACGACAGATTTGGTATTTCTCGTTATTTTGTCTAAAACATGAGAATTAGGTCTATGAAATAGGTAGATCGTGTTTGTTATTGTTTGTAAGACGAAGTCGTTGATGAATAAATTTCAGGATTTTATCTCGGATTCGTACAGCTTTCCTAACTAAGATGCGCGGTTGCACAGCAGATATTAAATTAAACAACCTAAAAAGCTTAGAAATTAATTACCTTACTGCTGTTTAGGTCACCTATTAAGAACAATCCATGTTCTTGAATGAAATTGACAGTTGCGATCTTTAGATTTATGAGAATACAGCATCTTTAATCTGGTGCTTCTTAGATCATCAGTGGACATCTCTTAATCTACCATTCAGCATGGCTCGAGAAAGTAAACATATTTTACAATCCAATTGACCCATAAATTTTTCAGCGTGTTTGACCTCAAGAATCCAGTAGTTTAACTCAACAAACGTAGCCAGATTTGACTGTAACGCCCAGACCTAACAATACCAACCGACAGGTAGTCAGGGTAGGATTTAAGTCTATAACACATTGCAAATCAAACACTTGAATGATAGGCATGTTTAACATCTCGACAACGCACACAGTTCACCACAAGACTAAATTGAGAGTCTTCAAGCTTATTTTAATCTTAACTTATTAGATATTTTAAATTCCTTTTTTCGTAATATTGTGACTTTGATATATTAGCTAAATATTTGTCCATTTTTCGAAGCATAGTCAACACTCCTTACAAGGATATTACAGGGGTGAAGAAACCAAACACTGCATTATAAATTAATAGTAAATTATACAGATGTTTGGCTAACCCTAACGAAAGATACTTCTGAGTTATTATCTAATGAAAGTGTTCAATAATAGAAGGCAGTTAGATTCAAGAAGTACTATATTGATCTTAAAGTAGGAATCAGTTAAATATACAAATCAGAAAAAAATAGTAAGACCAGCTATGAACGTTTACAAAGCTTCATGAGATTGAAAACAGTTCCGTATTAGAAAATTCTTTAGATTGTTTATCCGATTAGTCACTTCTGGTATGGACAACAATTGAATAAGTTCGACCACAGGAGGCCCCACCTGAATATTCAAAGGTAATAATTTATATTATCAAGTACTGGCAATTATTAGAAATTTTATACGTTGGGATGATCCAAGGCTAACATCGTTATTGACTCACTAAACTCAACTGCGTGTCGTTCGTTGACATATTAATTTCTTATTGCTAGTGTCAAACATCTCGCAATGATAATAAATTGTTAGTGCCAACAATCGGTAGGTCGCGTGATATTATGAAACCTCTCTTAGGACAAAACAATAAGTTGATATATGCTACATAATTCACAGTAGGTCGTAAAAAGTTATTTTAAACACCAGTTTGAAACTACTTGACCGTTTGATCATCTAATGAATTCCATCATTTTGATTACCGTTTCTAGCTGCTGGCTACCACTATATTTCAATCAAATTTTAGATTACTGACTCATCGGTAAATAAGTAGGCGAAAATTCCTAATAGTGTATACATACAGTTACACAAAAGATAATAACTATACTTTAAGGCGATGAATATTATGTTCGTACCCCAAAAACTGCATGTAATTTCGAATGATAAGTATTATGGGTGAAAAACTAGTGCACTCTCAATATTTCATTGCTCGCAAGAGTAAAAAGTTGGCTTTTTTACAGAAGAATCATTTAAGCACTTACCTCGAATCCTATAAGGCCTAATCTAATTAGGTGCAATACAGTCTTACGTTCAACTCCTGAATGTTCGCAGACACTCTGAAGGGAAGTTGTTATCACATCGGAGTTTAAATCTGTGCTATCATTCACTTGTTCTTTCTGAAGAATATGATTCATTTCTTCAACAAAACATCCAAACAATCTGAGTATATCTTGTAAAGGTATTTTGATAGAAATTTTAGTGATAACGCCTTCACAAGTAGCTAAATCTGGAGACTTCCACATAAATAAGAAACCATTATCGGGGTCGACTAAGTCATCTAAACAGTGAATACGACATTTCAAGAGTTGCAATCGTTTCAGCACACGCAAATCATTTTGAGCAGATTGACTACAAATATAAATATTAAGGCAAAAATAGTAGTCTGTACAATAGCAAGGAACAATACTTATTCACGCGTGAAATTGCTTAAAAAATTGTATTTAAAATGTGCGAAAATTAGTAGGTGAGTAGACCATACTTTACACCGCCCTTTCAAGTCTATAATGGTTTCTAAGTATCCTCAAGTCTAGTATTCGTCTGTTAAAAGCCATTGAGAATTGTACAATTAAGCGTTATCGCTACCAGATACTGGCACGATGACTGTACACAACTGACCCTAGTTTCATTGATATCACCCTACATCCATGTGGTATTTCTATGATTCAAACGCCTTTCACAATCCATTGAATTTCTGCTTTCTATTTGTGATTAATGTACACGTTTATCTTATAAGTCACTAACAATAGATTAAGCTTGGTTTTTCATTTTATTCATCTTGTCTTAGATGACTTCCACTCATTAATTGAATTCCAAATCTGTAGGCGAAATTTCTATTGGTTAGCATATTTCCAAATATATTTTAGAACTGTAAACAGTAAAAAATAAATCTTGCTGAAGACTAGTAAATACCGTAAGTTGTATGAGAAACAGTAACTCTTAATTATATGCATCCCTTACGTGCGTAGATGAGATAGCTAATGTAAGGTGGTCGTGGTTGCTAGCTGGATATAAGGCAGAAATGTTTTGATAATGGCTAGTGATGGAGTCTAGGTTTGTGCTTTACATTTCTGATAACTATATGGTATGTTTACTACCCTATTGAGACTAGGATCCAGCAGTCGCCTCGCTTTACAATTAACCGCCCTAATAGACTACAATAATAGTATGGTGTAACTGCTAAACACAAGAAAGTTATTGAATCTTAGTAAAGTTTAGTAAGAACTTAAAGTGATAACTATAAGGCTTCTGAATTTCACTAGAATGACATAATGTTATAGTAGGTCCAAGAACGCTCGATTAAGAATATAAACAGTACTCCAAGTTTTAAGTGAAAGCACAAAGTGACTAAACATTTCTCTTATTTTTGCCTATCGAAAATATAGCCAAAATGACAAATGGTTAATAAAACGGAAACTTAATGAAATCACTTGAGCTAAAATGCAATTGCGACATTAAAATACTGCGCGTCTTACCTTTTACCAATCGATAGGTTTTCTACATTTGACTGCAGATATTCTTTAATTGTTTCTAGTATTTGTGGAGTTTTATAAGTGGTCTGATTACTTTGCTTTTGATGCATTATACAATAATCCAATGCATTGTTTACAGCTTTATCAAAATGAAATTGGCCGCATATTTTTAACAAATCTGTTGATAAATGAGCGTTATGACGATTGATATTACTTAAGTTGAACTATATGGAATAATTAAATGGTACGTTTCAAGCTAGTTCATATAAAACCAGAAATATGTATTAAAATTTATTGCATTCGATGAAATGAAGTTTAAAGTGTTTTATTGATGAACTTCAGAATACATTTGCATGGGATGTTGCCATATTGTAGTGACTTTGGTGTTTTCACTGACAAACTAACTGAGCAGTGCTACTCGCACCAGAAATAGCAATACTTTTGTTACAATAATTTTATCAGGTGATTGCAGATGATCCAAGAAAATTTGCTGGTTTTCTTCGACTTCCTTATAAAATATGGAAGATATGGGTACTTTTCTGGTTTCATTTGGCAATGTAACTCACCAAGTATAAATATATGTGCTCAGCTTTGAGCCATACCAGTTCTATCTAATTCAGTTGGATTTAATTTCAGTGTTTCGTCCATCATTTTACTCGTCTTCTCTTGAAATATGTAATTACGCGCTGTCTGTCGATGGGTTACTTAAAAAAAATTATCTTCTTTAGAACACTGCCTTAATAGTTCAAGACATTCAGTAGTCTATACTGGAAAAAATCTTTCACTTTCTATAACTGCTGCACAAACGCTTAATAAATCTCCCTTCTAATTATGCTCACCACTTATGGTGATCGAAAAAGCTAGTGTGATCCACAAATCAAGGGTAGTATTTTGTGACAAATTATCAATCGTATTTACAACAATTTAAAAGACAAAGTAAATGCATGTCCAAATAAGGCTTGAAAAATATCCGATTGACGATCCCCTAGCTTTCAAACAGGGTAAAAAGCGGAAGATATCACAGGAGTTTAGAAAATTAAAATCAAGCATATAGGACCAGGAAAAAACCCATATATAAAATTGTAACTTACTCGAGAAACTAATTCAGAGAATTCAAATTCAGGCCTCCACTTATTCGAAAAGTCGCCCTTTTCGTTAGAATCATCATGACAGACACCACCTCCGGTGGATGTCAACCAATTCAATACGGCAGACGGCATATAACCAGCCTTACGCAAATTGTGAACACTACCGATAAGAGAGAATTCTGGACTACGTTTAGACAGTTTACCACCTGAACTAAATTGATATGACAGAAAAGAGAAATGTTTATTCGCTGTATAATTATTCAAATTAACTCGACAAACAAGTATGTACTAATTTTTTGACCGTTTTGTGAGCTACACTTAAGAAGTTATTTACCGGTTTGTATATTACGACCAGTGCAATAGCTTAAAGGTGGAACTCATCTGCGCGAACCGAAGTAGATGAAACGATTCAGAACAAATGATTACAGTTATGTTTAAAACAACTAAAATCCCTAAACCATATTCTGACGAATACACACATAGTGATTGCCTACTCTAAGTTTTAAGAAACTAAAAAATGTTTACCACTAACCTGGAAAGTAACAGAGGAAGATGTGCAAACTGTGGAGGTGACCAATTTAAAGCTTTGTATAGCATCAAATGCTTAGGCGTGGAAGTAAACCATTCCTATATTTCAGGGTAAGAATATATGCAAAATTAAAGATATTTTGGGTAGAGATGTAAATGAGATTAAATTGGCATACCATAAATTTTGACATATGAAATGAGTATTTACACCACATAGATTTAAGTAAGAGAGGATTACTGAATTCACTTGAGCGTTTGATGGCTCTTTCATGATCGGACAACAAAACTGTGGAAACAGATGAATCAGTACTAGGAAGATGGATAGTTGATAATAGTAAGTGATGGTAAACTCTGTCGAGGGCTTCAGGCAGCGCAGAACTTGCAAAATTATCAGTCAGATTTTATATGAGGAAGACGTGAGGACAAGATGAGCTGATATAGCTTCAGATCACATGGTAGTTGCTAAGATGAAAATGAAGCTAAAGAAGACAACTGACAAACAGCATTACAAAGGTTTAATACAACATCCCTTCGAGATACTGATAAACTCAACTAATTCAAGATAACTCTCAACAACAAGTTCGAAGATTCACAAGATCTGCTGGAAGAGAAAGAAATTATTGTGGAGAACATTTGGAAAGAAATGAAAGAAGCACTAATTTCAACGTATTAGGAAATGCTAGACCTCAAGAGGAATCATCATCACAACGAATGGATCTCTGTCGAAACCCTGGACAAGATTCAAGAAAGGAAAAACAGAAAGACAACAACTAACAACAGACTAACAAGAACGGAGAAAGTCAAGACACAAGCTGAATACACTGAAGCAAACAAGCAAGTGAATAAGAGCATGAGAGCTGAAAATCAGAAGTACGTGGAAGACATATTAATGACAGTGGAAAAATCTGTAACAGAAGGAAATATAAAGCAACTATATGACACAACGAAGAAACTGGTAGGGAGATACAGTAAACCAGTCAGAGACAAAGACGGCAAGCCAATCACTGAGATTCAAGAACAGAGAAACAGATGAGCAGAACACTAAGGAACTCTTAAACAGGCTAACTCCACTGAATCTAACGCACATCGAAGCAGCACACACAGACATTCCTATAAATGTTACTGCACCAACAATCGAAGAAATCAAGCTGATCACCAGTCAAATCAAATGTGCGAAATCAGCGGAACCTGACAATATACCAACTGAAGCAGTGAAGTCAAATTTAGAAGTAACTGCAAAGATGCTCCACCTTCTATTCAGCAAGGTTTAAGAGGAAGAACAAGTGCCACTGACTGACTGGAAGAAAGAATACCTCATCAAGATACCAAAGAAAAGAGATCTTCGCAAATGTGAGAACACAAATTACTGTCAGTATCAAGTAACGTTTTCAGCAGAGTATTACTGAACTAGACGAAAAACTCAGTAGACTCTCAACTTCGAGATCAACAGACCGAATTCCGTAAGGATCGGTCGTGCACAGAACAAAGTCCCAAAATTTACAGATAATTGTTGAGCAATAGTTTGGATGGAATTCGTTACTTTTCACCAACTTCCTTGACTATGAGGAAGCTTTTGGCAACGTACATCGAACATTGTGGAAGCTTCTTCGACAATATGGTGTACCTGAGAAGACCGTCAACATCATATGGGATTCATAAGACGGATCACATTGAAATATCACGTATGGAGGACAGCTGACAGACACATTCCAATGTAGGACCGGAGTCAGACAAGTCTGCCTACTCACCCTTTCTCTCTCTTCTAGTGGTTGACTGGATTATGAAGACCTCCACATTTGAATGGAAGCACGGAGTACAATGGACAACTTGGATGCAACTAGACCATTTTGAATTCTCAGGTGATCTAGCTCTTCCCTCCCATACACACGATTAAATGCAGGTCAAAACAACCAGTGTAGTAGAAGCCTCTGCATCATTCGGCCTCAACACACACAAGGGATAAAGCTAGGTCCTCAAATACAACATGGATAACACCAAACCAATCACATTTGATGGAGAAGTTCTGGAAGAGTTGGAAACGTTCACGTACCTGAACGACATCATCAGCGAACAAGGAGGATTCGATGCAGACGTAAATGCAAGAATTGGGAAAGCAAGGATAGCATTCGCACAATTGAAGAACATGTGGAACTCGAAACGACTGTCAATCAACATCAAAGTCGGAATCTTCAATTCGAACGTCGAGATAGTTCTACCGTATGGAGCTGAAACCTGGAGAACTACTGCAACCATCATCAAAAATTTACAGGTATTTCTAAACAATCGCCTGCATAACATATTCAATGTCCGTTGAATACTGAAGCAGATTTCTCAACACGGATCGATGTCAATTGTATAAACGTTGGAAACTTGAGACCACTGAACAGATGTTTCGTCACAACGTAGAACTCCCTAACAGTTGGCGTCCACGGATCTGCTAGGGATCAACTTCAAAATATTTTGGTCAAGTGAATACCGTGTTACTTTCATACTACTCCCTTTATAAACCAGTAGGGAGCACTGAAATGCTAATTAGCCATATTTTACTTTATCTTAATGATGTCCATATGTGTATACTAATGACCACTTTTGAAAAGGCTTTAGAATACTAGGTGATCACTTGTAGTGAGCCAATTCAACTATTTTATTATTTGTCTACTCGCTGTAATTTAAACATGTAAAATTGACTGAGCGCATGTCTGCACATCAATCTTTATCTATTCTCCCATTGGGTGTAACACACAAACAATCAGTAACTTATGCATAATCGATTAACACTCATAAATATATATGGATTTTTAATACTCACACACAAACTCTCACTGGTTTCCCTGTGTTGCTTGCTTTCTGCACGCTTGCGTATTTTTACTAGTCATTAACAATAAACCAGCTCTACAACTGGCATTCAGGCTTTTTAATAATTTTGAGCGAAGTCATAATACTACTAGGAGATTTAGCCTGCGTAAATACTCAGTAAACGGGATACTACTTATTGCAGTTAGATATAGAGGAAATTAGCCTTTGCACACTATTATATTATTGAATTCAATGTTTAGTGAAAATAACCTTTGATTGCTGAAGCCACTCATTAATTGAAATAAAATTAAGGAAATGGAAAAACATAATGAACTTACAAATCCTCTAATAACATGACTGATTTCCATATAATGATCATCAATTACGTTGGCCAAATGGTAAACAGGCATACCATCGGATTTCACAATGATCTGTTTGAAGCAATAAAATAAATCACAGAAAACACAGTTGGTACAAAACATCTTATTGATTATTTTTGTAAGACCACACGTCATTCTACTATATGCTTGTATGAGAAAAATATATTGCCAAGCTGATAAAGTACATACTTACTACAAAATGTTCACATTACACAATGTAAACATACGCTTTTTAGTCAAATTGAAATTAATTTGTAAACGTATTCAAGGAAACTTATTACCAAAATGTACTAAATGTGGAGTTCAATGGCCAGCCACAACATTGTTTCAATGATCAAAGGATTAATCAAATACTTGATATTTTTTGTAACACTTTCAATCTTTAAGTCAGTAGGAGACTGAAAAATTAGTGTAACAGATAAGTAATAAGAACAGAATAATTAATTCGAAATATTCAGCTAACATAATTCACTTTACAAAGAAAACGATGCTTTAAAACCTTTAAAAATCGTACCCTTAATCTTAAAAGATGACCAACTAATCAAATACTCAATCAAGCCATTTTTCTTCACTTACAGTTGTAAAATAGTACAGAACAGTGTTATGCAGAAGAAAATGTCGCTAATACTAGTGATAGCGTAAGGTGGAAAAAATCCATATGCTTTTTAGTATCTGTGACGAGACTTTGTTAACCAATAGTCTATCGAGGTTGGTGAGATTTCCATAATAAATTAGGTAGTCAACGAGTTCGCTTACTCCATTCACTGTAGTCAAATTAGACACTAGCGGAAGTTTAAAGGCATTTTCATTCACGTACTGTATAGAAAAACAATTAGTCTTGTCAGTACTGATAGTAAAAGAAATAATGTTAATAAAATGGTACTTACAAAATCTCCTTCAGAATTGAGTGAATTGAAGACAGAACTTCCATAAATGATGTCATTTACTTCTATTGGTGAATTATCAATCTAAGTAAATCATATAAAATAAATCATATAAATCATATAAAATACTTTCGATAATTAAAAAATTCTCGGTGGAAAATAAATATAGGTATCAACAGGCAGGTGAAAAAAACACCGTAGAATTTGTTGACTGCCAAATCCAATGTGATTAAAATAACCTACCAGATAAAAGAAGTGATTGACTCATTCACCTAAAATTAACGCCTTATCCCTATACGATATCGAAAATCGTGTCAACTCTTGGTAGAAGATAATGTTCATTATCAACAAGAAAACTGTTATCCTCTATTGGCTTTCTTAACCCCATTTTCTACGTATAATATCCAAAAATATGTAACAAAAATGGAATACTTGTATCTGAAGTTACATTCATATATGAAATAAAAAAGCCAATTACTACTACTTGTTAACTTTGTCACTGGTGAGAATGATTTCAATTTGCATAAACAAATTCAAGAAAAATTTTAAAAATGACCGTTTCTCTAATAATAAATGTCAATAGTCCTGATAGGAGCGGCTTACAGACAACATAACGTTGAAACCACAGTTTTACCGCAAAGAGAATAAATTACCTAGTTTCTTCTGTCGACGATGCGATCGAACAAGTAACTTAACGGTTCATTGAAGAAAGTATTAATTATCCTAAGGGTTATTCAGATATCATGAATGTACCGAAGAAATTATACGCTAATCCAGAAGTCAAAAGTGATATTGCGGAGTAAACTTTAGGTAATTACCTGGTCAAAGTCGCTAGGACGCTCGATGCAGAGTCATTACCAGTATCCTATACTAGTCGCTCACTGATACACAACTGCGTAAGGGGATAAGTAACCTTAACTGACTGATGTGCATTTACTCATCCACCTGCCCTTGAAGAGCTATGCACACAGGTCATTCATTGGGGAACAATCCCAAAGTGACTCAGTGAAGGACAACGCTGAAATATAAAATCCTCTATTCCAAAACATGTAGTCGTGCATAACTATCCAGCGTTGTGCTTATACAATACTATGCATAACATAAAACCAAGATTCCTGAAAGCTGTGCACATATATCTCACTTGCATAAAAAGAAGCGTTAAGTGTAGGCAAAATAAGGTTAGGCCTGCATATAAAAACACATTTTAACAGCGTTTTTCTTACTTTATCTTTCACTTCCTTCATATTTAATTGTTACCTTCTCATCTTTTTTTTTAGTTTGACCTTCTCTACCTTCAATTTTTGCATAAACCTATCTCCCCTAATTCATTAAATGTTAACATCTTCCACTAAAATTCACTAATTTCAATTATTCCATGAATAGTATTACTTTAATTTCTTCAAATGGTGTTTGCTTAACAATTTTTAAAAAACAGCGCTATTTTCTTTTAATTTATAATGATATTTTTTTTAATTTTTAGCTTCTGATAATTACAAATTAGTTTGATCGTTCATGTAATTTACTTTATCTTCTCTTATAAACTGCACTTAACTCCTTTTACCATTTCTTTAATTTTGTTTACAACGAATTTAATATTCTTAAATCTGTGAGCTGATTAAGAATGAAGAAGTAGGTACTAAAAATCTTATTCATTTATTTGCTGTTCTTCATGCAGTTAAAAATCAACAAATTCATATATATATAACGCATCAAAAACCTCAAAATGTACTATGGAATAGATAATGATCGAATGATGTAGACGGGTAAAAAAAGTAAAATAATGATATTCTTATAATACCCCAATTAGTAGGAAACATAATTTCTAAAGTTTCGTCACTTTTTCATCCCTATATCAAACCTTTTGTCATAGTTCCATCATTATCTCCATGTACCATCAGTGTTACTGTTTGAATTTAAGAAGTGTTATTCCTGGTTTCCTGAAACTGTACTCTAAATCACGTGTTTGGTGCCTTCAATGTCATGTTGAACAACAGGGTTTATTAGCTATGATTATGGGATATCGCCCTAGTGACATATGCTGTGCTCTCTATCATTTTGGATCCAAGATACGCGGAGAGTAAATCGTGTAATCTGTCCATATTGACTACGTGAGGTCAAGTGAATGACTACCACTGGATTATACATGCGAATTTCGGAAAATAAGACACATTTCTACTATTTTATTTTGAACTTTTGCATGTGACAAGTCTATTGATTAAAACTAATCAACTCCTTCTTGCCCCCCTTTTCTTTGATGATCTTTTAACTTATGGCGCTTTCTTTTGGTATATGAGACATCATGAACGTGAAATTCACTTTTTAATTTTAATACTGACTAATTCAAACATAACTTTTACATATGTCTTTTAATACGCTGTGCGATATAACACGATACTAAAATGGTAGTGATCGTATAAACTGTAAAACCTTGGATATCTAAGAGTTCGTCCACTAGTATTGTACATTCTTACACATCAATTTAAAAAAGAACTTGTCCTCTTGAATTATGATTCGTTGATCTGACGTTACTCAAAACTCTTATTATTTTAAATGGGAAGTAAAATGATTTTCAGACGTAGACTGATGGTTGACAGCTAATGAAATTACGATTCTTCAATGGTGTGTAACTGTTCACACTTATTACGAATTTTTAATCAATCATACGTTTTTTAGCATTTACGATTATAATACCAGGAAACTTAATTAGACAAACAAACACTGAAAACTGTGGGACTGAAAAAGCTGTTTTACTGTTTCGTGGAACCATGATTGAAAATAACGTAGAACTCGGGACTTTCGGGTTCGGAGATGAAAACGATCAGTTCAGGCTAGTAGTTTGAATATCCCGAAAGTCGGTTGGTGTAAAAGCCTCTTGTGACCGCAGTTTAATATGTTGTTTTCCGAAAATACAACACTTAATGGTTTTTCAAACTTAAAAACGACTGTAAATTATTATGAGACCAATAACAAACCTTGAACCGAATAACATATGGCCGAGAAGCTGATAAGTTTTCGTCGATTTCCCTTTGAGATAAATTACGGCAACGATTATCATAACGGTGAGGTTCCCTACGACGACTTTGTTCCTTGCGTAAGATAGCTAGTCGTTCTGAAGAGCAGAAGCATCGATAAGCAAATCCTTCATCAATTAACTTTTGAGCAATAGATGAATACAGGGGTCTTCTTTCCGACTAAAAGACCATCAGAAAACAGAAAATGATGTGGAAATAATATTTTTCATGTCAATACAACAAGCTTTTGATGTTAAAGATATGCTTACACTGGAACATTGCAGGTGATTGTTAAATTCAATCCATAACAAAGTTAATACGATACCTAACTTGTGTGAATGATTATAATGAGCTGAAAATAAGGTATCATAAGCCGAATTGTAGGAGAATTACTATCCAGTCAGTCAGCTACAACGTAGGACGATGACTATCTAATGAAGATATATGAAGAGTTATAACAAATGATTTTTATGATTAAATAAAGAGATTTATAAACCTAACCTTTACAATTTATAATTATTTCCGTAAATAGATAGTGTTAACGGGGTGTATATTGAATTAAAGCATGTTCCGTGAAGGACTACATTCAAGCATTCTGACTGGTCCTTTCTAGGTCAATAGATGCAAGAGAATAATTGGAGAAGACTCTAGAATCTTCTCGCATAAAATTATAAACATATTAACGTGTTTTTTACTGTGACTCAGAGTCCCCTTTCACCCTGTTTATTTAGAGCATAATTACCTTCCTGTCCAACCGTGTTCTGATTTTGCGACTAGTCGAGTGACGTAGTGTCCGAATACTAAGTAATAAGAGTAGCTGGGTCGTAATAGGAGATCATAGCATAAAGATATATACAATTGATACACTTCATTTTCACTAAACCTTATCAAACTAGTAAGTTATTAAATGTGTACACCCGGTATGTAAACGGATACCTTCAATCATTCACTGAAAAAACTCCACAAGTAGCTATTCAATCCAAATTCAGGTATAATGATTATAAGAACTATAAGCACATAGTAAACAATAACTATCACAGTAAAGTGTGTTTCCCGACGAATAAAGAGAAACTACATCGATTTACAGATGACTAATGAATAAATACAACTGAGCGATTGTGACCGATTTGGCGCCATGTCAATGATCACAGGTATTGTGTGGACCACAGCCAGTAAGTTAGCATCGACCGACATAATTTATACCAACAGTCAACGACTGAATGAACTTATGTTACATTTTGGTCTACCAGCTCTTAATCCAGAAAGGAGAAAACTATAGCCACTGGAACAAATAAAATATTTTTGCTACACATACTAAGACTAGGTAACCATGTTCATATTCCAATATTCCATATACATGATGCTATTGTAAAGAATATTAGTACTGCTTCATTGGCAAGTTCGAGCACAGAATGCCACTTTTACTAGGGGTCGGAAAAATCAATTAATCTGAGCCGTAATGAAAGCAACAACAGAAGTACATGACATTATAAGATAAAGATATCTTATCAGTAATAACAATTAAAATTACCTACTCTCTAAGTGACTACATAAAAATCAATAAAGTAAAAAAAACAAGTGAAAAAGCTAATATTCAGATAAGCAATTGGTTTCTGTGGCTATTGATACATGCTTCAGGAGTCTTGAAAACTGACCAATGGCATAATTAGTGCACAAAATATTATCAAAATTGTTTCAACACGATTGAGAAAGTAAAACATGATCCAATTGATTCAAGTGGGTAAGTACTAGCATTACCTGACGTGTAAAGTGATCGAAATACACATATGTACCGTACTTGTTGAGCAACAACACAAGAATGAACTTCAGACTAAACTTCTCCAAATAGTGACCATTTATGATAAGGACATTTTACAAAATTCTAACGAACATACTTGAATGTACGAACCATAATTTCCACCAGTGGTTGGACTTTCGTCAGGAGTTAGTCCAGACCAGTGAAGCGACTCGATAATATCGTCCTTAGCATATGGTTGAACTCTGGACTACTGAATAAGCATGTAGGAATAATTAATTTACCTTATCCGTATCTTCAATACGCAGTATGAATTTCCCCGAGTGTTTCACAGCAAACAACTTGTTAAATAAGGCAGTACGTAAACCGCCTAAATGCATAAAACCTGTAGGACTTGGAGCGAAACGTACACGAATGGGACTGTTCTCCGTCAATTTACACTTTTGACGAAAAATGATGCATTTTTGACGTAGGAAGTAATTGCTACGCGATAATCGCATTCGTGACGATGTTAAAGTCAAAACTCCTAGCATACATAAAAATGAAAGTAGGACGTTATTAAGTATGTAGTAGCTCGATCGTAGATATTTAAATATATGTATCACCTTTGACTAGCATTCGTTAACAGACATATAACTGCAATATCAACGACGGAGCAGTGCCGCTTTTTATCCTAGAAGGACAAGAAACTTATACGGGAATAAATATGATGAATAATACAAGTCCAACGGTTTATGTCTTGGTGGTTCGAGCACTCCACTTCTGGTCACTAGAGTAGAGATCTAAAGCCTCCTTCATGTACATTTGATCTAAATAGCATGGTAGCATCAATCCAACGGAACAGAATAACGAACGTAACAGTTTATATTACAGGGTTACTGCCAATCCAAAATGGGTCTACCTGTACTTGGTTGCTTTTGTCACGGTCAGTCGGACATAAGAAACACAGAGTTTGGCACATATGTACAACGGTTCAGGTACTTAAAACCCATAGGCACAACGATATGAAACTATCAAGATGGATATAAAAAGTGGTAGTAGCAGCATAATGATTGCAAAACATTTGGGGAGACTATAACTTATGGGTGACCTTTGAGTGATGCTAGTGGCCTTAAGGGTGTCCGACTGCCTACTAGGACTAAGTGAGGGTTACAAATTAATGTGAAGAAGTAGGATTAGTATTTGCAGCTGGACGTTAACTTTAGGAATTAGAGTTGTCACTAAGAACCGATATCAGCTATGATGCTAAAATGCTATATAGTCAAGTGAATGGATGAATTTCGTGCCGAAATTCAAAACCTATTAACTGAAATTCGATTGGTTTGTCCGTAAATTATAGTCTCTCCATCTAATTCAGGAGAAAGGTAGTGATACAGTATCAGTTATTTATGAATATTGATTAAATGTTTGTAAGATATGTTTAGTACACTTTTAACAATAAAAAGAAATTTTTTTCAAGAAATGACGTGCTATGCATGTTTTCTTTGACAAAACTTTTGGAAGTATTGTGTCTAATTTTCCAACACCCAAATAAACTCAAGATCTCATAATAAAAACCATTTAATGGTCATAATCGCAGCGCTCTGGGGTCAAAACAGGGATTGATCACTACGGAAAAGTTTTTTTTGACAAACAGATATAAGATAATTGACATTCTGGTTTTAAACTGTTTTGTCTAATCACGATGAATTAAGATTGTATCCTTCAGTACTGATACGCAGAGAAAATAACCGGTATTCAGCCGACTGAAGTAACTTGTAAACGAATAGACTTATATGGTCGACAGAATATGAAGTAATCTCGATAAACTTGTTAACGGACATCATCCAAGTGCACATTTTAAAAGCCTACATTGGGAAAACTCATGTGACAGGTCAGTACATATGTCTAAGTAATTGGGAACTAAAAACGCGGATCTTATTTGAACTTCAAAACATTCCCAGTTTAATTTCTAGTTTAAGAGATGTCCATAGAGCAACAAGGGTGAGACTATAATTTATGGACGACCTTTGAGCTAAGCTAGACTGACCTTGAGAGTATCCACCTAATATATATGACCACATGAGGGTTCTAAACCTGTGAGGAATTAGAATTGTTTTACAGTTGATAATTAACGTCAGGAATTAGATTTCGGGTTTTCATCACGAACTGACATCAGCTATAATGCCAAAACTATTTAACCAAATTGGATGAGTGAGTTTCGAGCCAATATCCGAAGCCTATTATCTTATACCTTATTGGTTCGTCCATAAATTATAGTCTCGCCAAAAATGTTATGTAGCCAGGTAGTATTACTCATGAGTTTTAGTACCCACTTGAGACAGATTTCGAGAGACTTTTTGACCTAAAATGATAAGCAACTAGAAAACTTTGATTGTTTTCCACGACTTTTAACCAGATGAGAGAAAGACGTCTACTAACTGACTAGTTTACTAACCTTGATGCTATCAGGCTAGTTGTGGATAAGTGAACACATCAATAGCATGTAGGCGCACATGCATTGAGAGCGAGATTCTATATATGTTTTTCAAAAAACATTGTATGATTATGGAACTATTTACTATGAAAAAGTTATACAATTACAACTGATAGAGAATTTCTACATGAACAAAGTATTAACCCAATCTCCATATTTTGGAAAACATTCGAGATTTCTGGGTAAATTCTTGGGTTTCCCCAAGAGCCGTAAGAAATTTATTAGTCTCTCCCAATGTCTGAGGAAATTTAGGGAAGCAAATCCAAAGTGTTATAAGATTCTGGATAAAATGGGGAAGACCCTAGATTTCCCCGAAAATTCGGGGATTTTTCGGAACATGGGGAAGTTTCGGGTTTTCTTGTGCCAAGTGCCCGAAATTCCTATGGCGTTTTCCCAAAATTTATTCCAAAGCGGATAAAATCTCCAAAATAAGGCGATCAAGAATGTACACAAATTATTGTTTCTGTTCAAAAAATTACATCCACTTTAACTCAGAGAATGATATCACGCCAAGATCTGGTTGGCTTGTCCACATACTTTACTTCTGCAAACAATCCCAGTGTTGATGTGAGAAGCGCAATTCAGCTTCGAAATGTAAATAGCCGTCAAGGTCACTGTCGAATCAACTGCTTCATCAAAATATTCAAGTCTTCAGTAAATAATAGGAAGAATAGAAAGTGAACCAGTATGAAGACAGTTAACAATAACTTATTTTGTAATTATTGTCTGTTATAATTCGAATTTTTTGTGATTTTGCATAATTTGTACATTTACCGTTATTGGCGTAGAATTACTGTTTAAAATTTTTGACTTTGACCTTCTGTGTCTGATTCGCTCTCTCATGATGTGACTCATCAATTTTCGCTCGTAGACACACGGCTGTGAACATGCTTTTCGTTCTCGAAACATCACATGGAACCATTTGAATGCTCAGTGAAGCGACCATAACTCACGGTGACCTTTGGAAACAGCTGCGTTGCAATACGTATGTTTTTCAAGCCATGACCAATTATTACTCCCAGGTCTTTATGTTCCTCGAAGAGATGTATCATCAGTAGTATAATGATAACTATTACAGTGTACACCGTGCATGAACACACTTTTCCTAAAATTAACGTCATGATATGTACCTCTGAAACACCTTCAGGCAGCACATTTCTTATGCCAGGTTCCACTAACTGCAGATCGTGTGCACACCTTTTATCAGGCTCATTGTCTTTTTACTTCTCTAGATTCCAAATGATTAAACTAGGAACGGGTTTAACTTCTTTGAATGTTGAGTCCACAGCTTTCGATCGTGATGTCAGATATTGCCTCTTAACTGCTGGGAGCTTACCCTTAATTTTTGTTGTAACGGAGCCTTGAGGTAGAGCGAATGACTCACGAAAATCTTTGATGAGACCAAACTATTCTCATCTACGACAGGACTAAATATTGTCTTACTTCTGGACTTTGGCGGAGTAGACTGCAACACAGCATATGAGTCCACCAAGGACTTTTCAACTAAACAGGCACTATTTGGGCTATCTTTCCTTCTCTTTTATGTCTCTGCATCACCAATTTCCCATCAGTTGCAGCTTCCGCATTAGAACTAGTCGGGAAAGCAATGGTTTTGTTTGGGTCATCAATCGCTGCTGTAGCAACTTGGCCACCTGTATCTAATGGTGCGTAGCTCATTAATTGCTTCAGGATAGTAATCTCTACTGAGTGTTGCACAATCAGGTGTCTGATACGTGCCGTAACAGCACTTACGACACTGACGCATTCTTCTCTATCAGTACCGGTAGAGCTCTCATCAACCTTTTGTTAATCAACGCCAGAAGGCTAATTGCCTCTTGGATAAATATTGTTTTGCTTGGACAATAAAACATAAAATGTCAATGGGAGTTGGGCTTCGAGTACCTTTTATAGATAATGGGATTTAAGCGGGTACACAACTTATGGAACCACTTATCCCACCCATCACACTGAATTCCTTATTCCACAGGTAATAAGTAAAATGCCTGTCCAGAGCAGAGACTATCATCTTAAAAATAAGCTAAAAATGGTAACACAAAAATGGAAATGTAAAAAGTTTCAAACTTTATCCGAATAAAGAAAGTCAAATTCGATCACATATGCTTTGATGCAGTTAATACACAAAGGCAAGGTCAATAAACACAAGTATAATATCACTTTAACTGAAATAAATTCAATTTAAGTGTAAACAGTAATTTTGATGTATGATATACGATCGAAACAGTAAATTCAACTCAACGAGGAATAATACCACTATCCTTTTTAAATAGTGCGCTACCATTTTCGAAATAACTTTATTACTATTTTGAAATTGACATACTTGTTCCGTCTCCATTTTATGGTGGGCCAAAAAAATTAATTTTTCTTGTTATAATGATTACCATTCCACATCTGTAGGCTTTTACGTATAGTGTATGTTTCTAATGATCAACATGACAATGGGTGTACTTCTACCAAACCCACCTTTAAATTACCTCATATATCTGAATCTAATGTGATGCGAGTTCAGGCAGGTTGCAGGCTCCATAGATGCTACACCATTTTGATTTCACATTGAAAGCATTATTTTGAGGCTGGGCTGAGGCTGAGCTCGACATCAAATTCCAGTAGCATCAGAAAGACTGCCAACGTCACACCCTTCGGCCTGTTCAAATTGTTGAGGGTACCATTATGACCAAAAGATGCTGCCTAAACGTTTCATTGGTTTACAGATGAAGTCGTAAGATGTATAGACTTCTTATTTACGCAAATCGACGATTATCTGGTCGCCAGATATTTCACAGACAAACATGTACACCATCTACTTATTCTGTTCGACTGCCTTGAAAGTCATGCTGATTTGGTTAATTATCCAAAGTATGTACTCGATAATCCAGTTTTTAACTTTCTGGGACACATAGATTCGCACAGTATTGTAGTAACTTAGGATGATGGTTGAGAGTTGTTCGCAAATATTACAGTGATGTCAAAACAATGTAACCCAAGTATTTATCCGCTTCCTTATTT